AGGCGAGTTGTAATGTGGCTCATGGAATAGCATGGATGGGTGGTATTAACTGAAGACTTTTAGAATTTTCTATGAGTTCTTTCTCGCAGAACTGGTGTCTACATATAATCAAGCACAGAAATTAAGAAATTTTTATGCTCCATACTAGACTATTTTCAAAAAGACCTGGTCCCGGTCGCATTAAAAGTCCTGCGGGACCGGGACCGTCGCACAGATCTCTAGGTCCCGGTCCCATAAAGTTTGGTTCCGGCCCCGTAAAAAGTCCCGCGGAACCGGGACAGTCCTGCAGACCTCTATTGTATAGATAAGTTTTGTTACTAATTGATGATCCAATGGCTATAAAACAAGAGTGGTATAGATCACCTGAATATTTTAAATAGTCTTCTTTTTTCCGTAAGGCCAATATGACTTGAAGGTTATGGTGTTCGTCACGTACTTCAAAGGTTCGAATCTTAGCGCTAGTAAAGTCATGTAATAATCCTGGACAAGTTACTTATGCCTTAGTGCCTCGCATCACCCGTCTGACAGCATACTCACTACGTTTTGACATACAGTACAGCTTCTTCGACTAGTCCTTGTGACTTCCGCGAAAGGTAGTACGTGGTTAATGAAGTGTGAATAGGAAACTTAGATAGTTGGACGAAAAAACTATGCGTCAGACTAGTCTTCTGACTAGAGCTGTAGCTAATGACTAGTAACGAGATGGGTGATCATGTCAGAAGTTTGTCAACTGCAGGGAAGACATCGGACTATTGAAACTGCCATTCGGCAGCACCCTCCACCAGTAACGGTAGTCACAAGGCGGAGTATTCTTCTTCCTTTTTTCATAGATACGCCTCTGTATCTGATAAAAAAATGTATTCTAATTGTATTCGCAATCATTCATTAAAAGGTGCTCCTATAAGTCTGTATTAATGGCGAAATTATAATCTTTAAGTAATTTTAGAATCAATCATCTCATTAATTTCTTACACTTTGCATGTACCACACAATGTTAGTTTTTAGCTCAATTTCAAGGTTATTAGAAAAAAAATATTGGGAAGTCATTTGTCTAGTGTAAAATAAATGATTTTACAAAATAAAGAACAATCTTTGCGTCTCCTGTATTTTCGAATCATTATATGACTATGCATAATGTTTCATTTTATGAATAAAATTATGCTGATTTATAAAAAAAGAAAAAGCACAACGCTAGAATGAGAAAAAAAAATTGTAAATCGTTTATACGTTTTAGAAGTACATGTGAAATCATTAATTTCTTTTCCATGTTTAAAACATTTTTTTTTTCTTCACTCCACTTACAATCGAGCAATTCGACTGGTGTGCATATATGAAGAATTTTTTGTTTACTATTCCGATGAAACATTTTTCTCCTATAAATTTCATTTATATTTTAGATTGAACAGCAGAATAACGATAATTTTTTATTAAATTTAAATTTATATATTATGATAAGTGTAAGTTCACGTCGTCTGTGTATAATTACTTTTACATTGTCAATGCTTTTAATCTTATATTTGGATCCAAGACGAGCAACAACATCTGCTAAATGTAGACAATTTAATGGTGCTGATAGTCGAACAACAGATAAATGCCATTTTTTTTCTTCAAATGAATATCGCACAAATGGTGGTAGTTACGAATTGAAACGTGCAGATGATAAATTTAATTTAGTATCTAATTCATGATAGGAAAATTCACGTATTAATGATACTGTATGTAAAAATATTATACACTCAGTTTTGGTAGTCTAGTATACAAATGTGGCACATCGAAATAGATAAAACAAGGACAGAGATATATTTTTTCTTCAATTTATTACACAATTCATGTTCTCTTACGAAGAAAAAAATTAACATAGGACAAAACATATTTTTGTGTACCAAAATCATTTGCTCTTCACGTGTCTTCCAAATATTTCACGTATCCGGACGTTATACACATCAGTCGATGTTCTATTGGCTGATCTATTGTTTGAAAATTGTTTATCAGATCTACTCCTTTACAGCAAACCAAAGAATATGAAATAAAAAATGAAATTGAACAAAAATTCTACGATACTTAATATGATCAACAGTTCAAGTAATCGATAAGTTTACATCTAATAGGAGAGATCTTTTTCGAGGGTACAAAATGTATAACATAGCAAAGTGATACTACGGCTTCCAACTTCGTTGTCTAGATAAGAATGAAACCTGAAATCGCTAACAGTTTTTTGGAATAATATGTATTAATTTGAATCTGCTATCGTTGTCTTTTCTCACTTTAAAACATTATTTGTCCGTTAGTGCAAAAAATAGATATTCTATTAGACAAAAAAAAAGAGAAAAAAAGTCTATAAATTACACGCTATTTAAAAAAGAGGGGGAAGGAAGCAAAAAAAAGGACGGGATCATTAGTGTTACTTTGTTTTTGTCATTCCCGCTTCAATTTGTTCTTGTTGTGATTTAGGAGGCATCCAACTTTGCACTTTTCTTTGTACCGTTGTATAGGGTACATAAATTTGAGATGTACCCGTTTTATTTTCGATATTATCAATCATCCATGGATAACGTTTGTAAGGTTGTTCAGTTGGCGGATTATCTCCAATATATTGTAACCAACGATGCCTAATGAAATATCTATTAATTCTTTTTGAAAATAAACGAATTGAGCATGTCTTACCATTCTGGTGGTATTTGACTTGCATCATAATCGAGGCCAACATGATCAGCATAAATAACCCAACGACTTCTACCTAGACAATAAAAGAAGTATACTTTATACTAGTTAGAAAATACACAAAAATCTACTTCACAAACCAACAAAATAGCGTAAATTTTGATAATATCGATTTCCATATTTATCTACACCGATTAAATCTCCATCTTTTACTTCATCATTTCTAAAATATATAAGCAATAATATAATTTATTTATATATCTTAGTAATTTCCCATATACCTATATAATTGTTTCAATACACCACCCAAACCCCCTGCTTGCCTCACCGCAAGAGCAAGATTACGAAATTTATCTAATAGATTTGATGTCATTCTAATAAAAATCTAAAATCATTGAGTTATGTATATGTGTCTTATTTATAGTGACTAGTGTACTTGACAAATGTAAAATGAGTTCTATTACCAATTATCAGTTAAAAAATATTCTTAAAATAAAAATATCCAGCACCAAAAATTTTATCTTTGATAATAATCAATATACACACACACATACACATGCAATTTTTCAAAAGATCAAAAATAGATTCAAATAACACAATTACAGAAATATTATATAATAGATGTGTTTATCACTTTGCTAGGAACATATACATTTTGGAATGAAACTAGTGCAGTTAACAATAAAAAATATTGCTGCAAAAAAAAAACCAAGAAAAAATTACAAACTACACACCGATAGCACCATTTCGTGATATTATTGTCATTGAGGTTTAACGTTCTTCAACAACTTTTGTGATTGTTAAATGTTTTTCAAGTTGAAGGGCTATTGTTTCTGGATTATCTTCTATGCTTTTTGTAACATCACTTTCATCGCCTAAAGAAGTGAATAAAAAAAACACATTAAAAAAATAAAATAAATTTTGTTTTACAACCACTTTTTCGTTACAAAAAAAGCTCAAGCCTTGGAAACTTGAACTGACCCTTACTACACGTTCAAGACTGCCTTTCTGTAACTTTTTCCTCAACTCTTGTTGAGAATATATATGTCAAACGTCACTGAAATAATTCGGTGATTCGATCTTCAAGGTCATGTAATATTCGCATTCGCCAGATTGCTTTCACAATGGCTATAGACCCGCAATGTGTATCTTTTCTCTGACTAGCTCAGGTCATCATGTAAGTCATATTGCCTCGTAACTCACTTTCATGTCATTCACCTCCTTCCTCCTGTCACACATCCATACAAGCTGTCTACCTGGTAAAATTTCAGTGTCAAACAGTCACAAGTATTAAAGGTGGCAAAATATAGAGAATTCGCAATCGATTCTTACTTGACCTACATGGAGATCTGAACTAGTCAAAAAATAATAGAGAATTCGCAAACACATCATATACACCAATACGCATTATTGTCATAAATTGCATACCGAAATGAATTCCCAGCGAATGCGAATTCTTTTTATAGAAAATCAAATTCGCCACGAACGTATATTTTCCAAGCTATGCGATCTTCAGTGGCGGTCACCCATCCACTTACTAATTGTCGACCTAGCGTTTAATCAGAGAAAAGACAAAATTTATTGTCCCAATTTCTCTATGAGTCAGGCGAGTTTAGTGTGGTTAAAGAAAGAAAATGATTTTGATATTTCAAACAAGTCAAGTTTAAAATATCAAAATCACATTAACAAAACATTTTTGACAATAATCATTTTAACAAATATGAAAGTTTCTCATAGAAGACTCATTTTACTACTAGCATAGAACTAAACTGACTGCAATCAGCAAGTTTTACTCTAACTAAAATATTATTCAATTACTACTTTCTATTTTGCTGTCATACGTAAGCGTTCAATAATCAAAAGAAACATACCGTGTTCTGTCGGAACACGGAATAATGACGTCCAGTAAGTTCGATGCACATCTTTGACTAATGGAATTGTTAGACATGATCTACAATAACAACAAATAAAAGATAAGTGACTCTTTTAAAGTTGCTGTTTAAGATTAATTTACACTTCTTTCTGTGGTATTCGCATTGTTGATTCGGTACAACGCAAAGGTATATCACCCAGCAGAGCTGATACACACGCTGATGCACAATTATCTAATTGAGTTAAATTATAACCGCCCTAAAATAAATGATACCAACGTTTATAATATTTTAATATAGATTACAAAAAATTGAGAGAAAAAACTGAATATTGATAATTCACCTCTAATATTTCAATAACTCTTCCGCCGGCTAATGACAATAACATGTGTGTCATTTGAGAGTAACTAACGGCAGATAATTTACCATAACCCTGAAAATAGAGATGAACGTATTCAACTAGAAAAGAATACTACGTTTATATGCGTTGTACTATATACCACTCGATCTCCTTCTGCCGCATCGAAACCAGCTGAAACCAAAACGATTTCGGGTGCAAACTAAATAAAGGATAACAGACACATTTTTAAATTGTAACAGAATAAGAGAAACCTACTTCATATGCAATTGGTAAAATGATATGATGAAACGAATGAATATAATCCCCGTCATGAGCAGCATATCGCTAAATGGAAACACCACATGATGTTAAAAGAATTGTTAGTATAGTTTAAAATTCCATCTATTTGAATAAAAATGGGTTTCTAATAGAGAATTCAGCCTATAGCAACGAACTTATGCTTACGAAATATTTCCATCCAATGTTGACATTAAAGCCTTGGCCATTTTTTATTCCAAAATCTGTCTCTGAACCTTCATTAGGGGGAAATGCATCTTCACAATGTAACGACATATATAACACACTGAAACAACATATATAACACACAATCTCAATTTCTAAATAGCATTTATCAGAACGTCACACTCTTACCTTGGATCATCATAAAAGATATCTTTTGTACCATCACCCATATGATAATCAAAATCAGCAATTAATATTCTAAAACGAAATCAGATGATACCCTCTCATGTGAAAAGCAATATGATTGATATTTCACCTACTTTTTAATTCCATATTTCTTTTGTAAATAACGTGCTACAATAGCGACATTATTGAAATAACAAAAACCACTATCTTGACTACAATGAGCATGATGACCAGGAGGACTTGAAAGAAAAATACGATAAATATGATGGTAAATCATCTTCTAATCATTGCATACCGAACAACAGCAAAGCCGTTTTGACCCTGAATATAAGCAAAACAAAAGTGTAATGTATCTTATGTGAAAAAAGCGCTTATTCGGAATTTTTATACTTGAAATACTGCCTACATTAAGAGTAATGTACTATCTTTGAATTACGCAATGCTTATGTTTCTATTTCAATTTATTTGTTCTTACTTACTTTTCCTTCCATGACAGCATCAACTAAATTTAAACACGACCCAGCGGCTAATAGTGCATTATCAAATAGATCCTAGACAAAAAAGCTTTAGTACAATGTGTCTAATTTTTTGTATTATATCATGTACAGTTGAGTAGATTAGTGATTTTTCTCTTGCTTCCACATTCGCAATTTCCAGTTCATCTACTGTCATTGTTTTAATCGATTTTTGTTTTTCATAAAATTCATCATTGTGAGCGAGGAGAATTTCTTCTTTTGTTGCATAACGTGAGTCCACCATTAAACATCGATCTGATAAATGACGTCGGCGTAAACCTTCCCAAATTGCCGTGATACGACCAGGACGTTCAACATGCCATCTAAACATCAACAAAGAAATTGCACAAAAATATCTTTTTGTATTCATCAAAAACGTACTCAGCATTATATTTCAGCATTTTCTCATCATAAACTAATAATGTTCTTCTACAATAAAATTAACAATAAAAAAATAACATTAGAGGCAACAGACTAATGGGGGTATTACCCTCGTTCGTGTGGTTGGGTATGTTTTCCAATATCTAATGCTTGTTGTATTTTTTTGTCTAATATTTGCTGTTTCTCTTTACTTAGAGGAGTATTTAATAGTGGTGTTAATGGATATTCTGCTCGACGATTTGCATCAGTATGAGTATTTAAAGGGAATAGGGAACTACAATGGAGAAAATAAGCAAAATTTTATGATCGTATTCAAGGTCAGTAATTCATTCTAAATTTCGCCTTGTTTAATTAAGATACTTAAATTCCCTTATGAGATCTTACCGTTTTCGTTTTGCTTCTTCGATCCAAAATTCGCTTCCATCTGTATTGTCAATCGCCAATGATTTCCAAAATGGTTTAAGAACGTGTTTACAGCATGCAACAGTTTTGAGAGTACTAAAAAAATAGAAGAATCTTACAGGCCTGTTGAAAGAGAGTGGGACGTACGCACATTGGATCTGGATTTTTACATGGCAACAATGGTGAACAGGGATCACCCAACAATGAGCGTAATGTCCAGGCACCACTTTCAGCTAATGTCTGAGGACAATATCCGCCCTTAAAGAAGAAAAACATAAATCTTACAATACCGTCATCGATAAAGACGATTTAAATATTATTTACCTACTTCCAATAGGACCAGTACTTTTCCATTCGCCAATCCCTTCAGATAATGTGTTAAATGAGCAAATGTATCTGGTGTTATCAACATTTCACCCTAAATCAAACGTTAAAGTGTACATATACCGTAACAGACGTACTGTTCTTACTCACTTCTGGACAACCAATAGCTACATCATAACCAGCTGATATCAACACTAGATCAGGATCATACTAAGTATGAAGAAAAGTTGCTATAAATCAGTTGACGCCTATTTTTATCTTACTTCGTATGCTACTGGTAGAATAATGTTGAAAAATATATAAAGATAATCTGCATTTTTCAAACCAGTCTTAACAAAAATAATACAGAATAATATAGTTATATACTAGTCTCAAAATAATCTACTTTATTCAAGGGAATGTTAATATTATATCCTTTTCCCTGATCTTTTCCAATTTGATCAAAGTCTGAGTCCAATAACTTAGGCCAAAAATCACCATATTCATATCGATGGGTTGATATATATAACACTCTAGAAAAAACATGATACTTAGTTTATAAATATCTTACTGCTAGACCAAATAGAGAGCTCAAAGAAAGTGAGAAAAAACTACAGCAATTACAGGCAAAAAAAATTCTTCGATACTATCATTTTCGTTATCCTGACGAAAAAACTTTCATGATTGCCTTACGCTTCTTTTTTTCGAGCAAAAAAACACGTCTTTACTTCTTACCGTTGAAAAAAACATTATTTTTACTCACTTATTTGTGTCATAAAATGCATATTGCGATCCTTGTCCATGATGTACATCCCAGTCAACAATTAGAACTCTAGAAAAAGAGAGAAGAATTAACAATATTACTATGCACAGTGTGGATCAACTAACCGTTGTGCTTTATATTTTTCGATGGCTTGTTTCGCTGTACAAGCAACATTGTTCAATAAGCAATAGCCATTTGGTTCGTTGTGCATCGCATGATGACCAGGAGGACGTACAAGAGCAAAACCATTACGACATTTACCAGACATAACTGAATCAAGTAGTTCCAGGCAATTGCCAATAGCCAATAGAGCTAGTTCGTACGAATACTATAGAGAAAAATACGATAAACTAAACAGTACTATCAATTGTAAAATTTGAGATTTGAGAACTAAGAATGCGCACAAGACAGTCGAATCTTTGCACTCATCTCTCAAAGATTCTTTTTCGTCTTACCTCGTTTAAATAGACATCATCATATTGTTGACAAAATTTTTTTAGTTCAGTATGATTTTCATCTAATAACTTGACAGGAGCTTGTTTCAGCTTTTCCACTATTGCTCGACTATGATTTAAAAAAACTTCATCTTCAGTTGCCAAACGCCCCTGGAACGGAGACAATAAATAGGGTAGAAGAAATAGGTATCTCGTATCTAAACTTACCCTGATGAATTGACAACGATCCAATAAACTAAGCTCTTTCAATCTGTCTAATAACCGTCGTAATCGATGTGGTCCTTCCTGATGCTCGGGAGCCCATGGACAAGCATGTTTTAACATTAATTCATCATAGGTATAGCCAGTTATACACTTTTCGGTCTTTTCTTGACCTATCTGTGGTTGATTTTCGCTCATAGTTTTATGGAGTGACCCAGAAAAGAAAGTAAACAGAACTTGTAAGCGTTTTTTAGTAGCCGTAGATCAAACGTTCCATTTAAAAACTCTGAAAAAAGTTGTTCGTAGTATTTTAATAACTTCAGTGGAATAAATCTGAAATGATACTAGTAGTTGAATGTTTTCTCTATCGACTTATATGTAAAAAACATTTGAAAATCTCTTTCTGACACCTAGCTAAAAGCAGAATTCTACTCCGGGTGGAATGAATCACAACTCTTCAGCTAAATATATGAAATTTTTAGTCTAAAAATGATAGTCAACTGTTAGGCTTATCTGACCCATAAACTAGCCAATTTACATTTTACATTAGTTCAAAATAGTATACAACAACTACAGAGTATTTTCTTCGAAAAGACCTATCTGTTTCGTGATCAATGACAAAAAGTTCAAATAAAAAAATTACATTGTTTGTTGTAAAATTTAGTTTACAGACTATGCGACCATCGAAGACATATTTTTTGAATTGAGACAACTTTTCTGTCAAGACGTGTAGCTAGTAGACACTCGCATGAGATAAACAACACAAGTTATCCTCAGTTTTTAAAACAACGAGAATGTATGTACGAAAAACTCGTTATTCTAATGCTATCATTGAGGAAGCTTTGCCTTCCAAAGAAAATAAAGTTGGCAGTTATTGATGTTCACAAACCAGGGAGTACATTGTCGAACTGATTACTAGGAAAATTCGATGCAAAACCTCGTGAACAATACACAATTCTATCATCTGAAGAAGAGTTCTATTTGGAAAGCTCTTTGATGAACCATAAAATATCAGACCATTCTAGGCGAGCATGGGCTTTTTACAAGGACCACGAAAACCCGTTATAACTCAGCCATTTCAAAAGCTAACATTTTCTGAACCATACATTTCAAAGAAGACACTTGTTGCTTTGGGTTCTCAGCTGTGAGCAACGTTTCGTCTCAAAGAAAAAATTCACGGGACAGAGGCCCAGAGGTGGGAATCTCCCGGTATGCGTGTACGGCCGTACGTAGAAAACTTTTTGAAGAGGTGAAAATTCTTGAAATTTTTCAACAGAAAAACTGTGAAATTTTTCCACATAGGAAGATTTAAGAAATTTCCGAATAATAAGAAATAAACCGATAAAAGCCTTTTCTAAATTTCAAATGTGGAAATTTTCCAAAACTTTTATTGTTCGTGGAAAACTATCAAACTCATGGGTAGATCCAGCCGAACTTTTCACTTTTTCTATAGAAAAACTGAGATGAACTAACGTAGTACTATATGCGATTAAAAACGTAAATATAGCATCTGATATTTCTCACGTTGGTTCCACCACTCATTTCACAAATGAAAAAGAAGCTTTGGCCCTCCGGTTCAATTTTGATCTATACGGTTGCCTCGTTGTGGAAAATGGAAGTATATGCTTTCGTTTATATATCTTTCGATTATCTGTGTGTTTCTGAGTAATTTGCAGGGACTAATATAGCGACATCTTTTGCTCTGTTAATGCTTAGACACATAATATGTCCAATCGATCGATAAAGGTTTCTTTTCGTATGGTTCAAACATTTGTTACACATATTATGTGGTCGCGATAATAATTAGAGATATTTAAATGCAAATCCCTACAATCAAACGTAAAAAATGAACAAAATACATTGAATCCATACTTCAAGGGTTGGCGAGTGTGCCATCAAGAACTAAATACAGCTATATTATTCGCAGCATCCGCTAATCCATTTTTCTGTAAGGTATTCAGAAACGGGCAATTCCAGTTAAGTTTATGTTCAACTCCACTTAAAAAAAATCAACTCTACCTCAATTCCTATCCCTCTGCTAAGGATTTATTTTGTCTCGATATGCTTTCTTCTTTACTTTATTAGCAGTTGTTAATTTTGTTTTTGTTTACAAGAGTACGCACAAAAAAAAGTCATTTTAACAATTCAAAATTGTATTTCGGTAATGTTGATTTTGACAGCGTACCTTTTGTCATTCTACATCGACGAGATTGGAAAAAAAATACTCTGAGAAAACACACTCTCTACGGGTACGGATGTGACAGATATACGTAATAGTTTTGGAGCTAACTTACTTTAGTTTACTTGAAATCGGATATACTGTCTTGTTTTGAAAAATAAGTGAATTACTTTTACTTTCTTTTAAAAAACTAACTATCTCATCTTGAATAGAATTTCTTTTTTTGCTATAATGTGACTATCGCATAAAGTGACAATGCTGCAATGTTCTCTCTTTTTTTTGCTCATTTGAGATTATACGTGCATATGCACGTGAGTATCAGTTATAAACGTGTAGAATATATAAACGTTGAACACATGTTCACCTGTGTTTTTTATAGAACGAAAATGTGTGATATGTGTGATGTAACAAAAAAAGGGAAAAAATTGTTCGAGTCGTAAAAAAATTTTCAACTGAAGTTGTAGAGTAGTAGTTGAAAAAATCTGAACTCAACTCACCTGAAACTACAGTAAAAAGAAGGTCAACTCTGGAATTGGAGTTGCTCATCTCTAAAGGCATTCATAAAAAAGAAAAATGGCTATTACTTTCGAGCGAAAAAATTAGACTGTTAATCACAATGTTTGTTTCTATGATGACAACTCTCTAAAAAAATGTGTAGACTAGAAAACCGCAATCGGTATCTTTTTTTGTCCGTATATGATACCGATTTCGGTTTCTACTCTATATATTTTTTTTAGAGAATACGGGACTCTGTAGTTTATAGTTTATACGTGAGGAATACTTCTTATAGGTGCTAAAGGATTCTTGAATGCATATTAAATTCATTCAAATGAAACAAATGAATAATTTTGATAAAGAATGAAAAGAAAACAAGTCATACAGTGTTAAATGTTGTTTAATTTTAGATATAAACCAACATGAGTAAGCCAGTAGATGTTCTTATGATTGGTACGGGCGAGTATACAACTGGCTATGTTCATGGAAAAGGCTCGCAATCAGATAAAAGTAAAGGAGGTATGTTATAGCAGATTCATTGTTCTCTCTGTGTATTTGTACTAATATACACCCTTAATTTTCTTTTAAAAAAATGTAAGAACGATTAATTATTAAACAAGAGTTATCCAATCGTTTTATTCTATATCTTGTATTATTTATTTTCTTTGTTTCTAGTTGTTGGAATAACATTAATTGATCTTCGTCGTCGTCTGAAAACGTCTCGTCTTGGCATTTGTGGTACAAATGGTAAAAAATTTAAAGATATTCGAGAATATATGCAACAAGCGATTGGAAATATTTATAAAGATATGGATTTAACTCTCGAATGGTGGTGAGTATTTAATTATTATTTGTTTTTCTACAGTCAGTGATGAATATTTCCTTTCTAGGCCTGGTGACGATGAATGCAACAGCGAAGCATATATACAAGCTTTGGATTCATTTAAAGCTGGTGATGCATGTACTATATTTACGCCAGATGATACACATTTCAACATAACAAGAGAAGCAATACAACGAAAAATTCATGTACTAGTCACGAAACCGGCTGTTAAAACGTTAGAAGGTAGGTACGAAAGAATTTCTTAGGAAAAAACTATGTTAGGTACTAAGAGGAATGAAATGTCAGGGAGGTACAAGAATAGTACTGTAATAGATAGTTGAAAAATCTTTATATTAAAAGGTTTTCGGAAAAGTGGAAACATGCTTATTATTTATTACCTTATTATTTATTTCTATATATTTTTTAATTTTCTATTTAGAACATCGTCAATTATACGAAGAAGCTAAGAAGCAGAATGTGTTAGTAATGATCGAAGGTATTTTGACGGCTATTTTTGTCTTGGAACACTGCAATAAATATCTTTTTTTCTTTGTTTTAGTCCATAAACGTTTTGATCCAATGTATTCAGATGCTCGTGATCGTATTCAAACACTTGGCGATTTTTCCTACTTTTATTCTTACATGAGTCAACCAAAATTTCAATTAGACACATTTCGAGCATGTAAGTAAGTACAAATAGATTGTCTAAATGTCTATTTATCTAACTTCCCATATTTTTTGTTCTTCTAGGGGCTGGTAAATCGTCAGACATATCATACTATTTAAATTCTCATCATATCGATTTTCATGTATGGGCACTGTATGGTCGATCAAAACCGGTAAAAGTCGTTGCAATGAGCTCTGTTGGATTAGCTTCAAAAGAATTCAACATTCAAACAGAAGATACAATAACATTAACTGTACAATGGTTGAATATTCAAACGAAAACACAAGGCACAGCTATTTATACAAGCTCATGGATTTCACCTAAAACCGATACACATACTCAACAAAAGTTTCATTATATGGGTCATAAAGGAGAAATACACATCGATCAAGCGCACAGAGGTGTGTGAATCAGGTTAAATTTAGATGTATGGATATTCATTCTTTTTCTTGCTTGTCTCTTTCTAGGTTATACAATGGGATCAGACGACGAAGGTTACAAAAGTATCAATCCATTATACATGAAATTTATTCCAACAGATGGTATGTTTTTCCTTTCTTTTTTACCTTAATATTCTATATATATCAATCCATCTTTCAGGTTATTTTTCTGGTCAATCTGGTTATGGCTATCGAAGTTTTGAGTCCTTTATTGATGCTTGCTCCGCTATTAATTCTAAACAATCAACACTAGAAGATTTTGATTCTAAACTACCCACAATCAGTACGACGTTCCAAGTAACAGCTATCCTAGAAGCTGGACGATTAAGTTTAGATAACTGCAATGCGTTCGTTGATATTGTTTACGATGGAGACGATTCAATCATCCCAAAGACATTAAAAGTTAAAAAATAATATAATCCTTTATTTTTTGATGGCGTGTTGGGATGGTATATTTTACTTCACCTCTCTTTTTTCTTGATTATTTTTGATTCGTGCAATATTACTCATGTGATTTTTTTTGTACTATTTTATATGATTGAGTGAATTTAAATTTTATTAATAATTTTCTTAGTGGTTACAGTATGAGCGTACAACGTTTGCGCAGGATTTTCGATTGTTTTTAGGGATGGAAGGGGCTAAAAATTTTGCTTCGCAAAAAGTGACTGGTGAAAAATAGTTTTCGAAATTTTTGGCAGAAAGTTGCTTGTGGAAAACGTCAAAGATTTTGCCGAAAAGTCCAAAACTTTTTTAAGGGAATGACCAGCCCCCTCCCTGATCGGGAAGCTTGCGTTTGCGATATGGTCTGTTTTTATTAATAAAATAATTCTTAACCTAATCTCCGTGTTGTTACTTTGAAATAATTTGGTGCAGAATTATGAACGACTTTAAATATATAACGTTCAGCAAAATTTAACCCACTAAAGTAAGTGATGTAAGAAATTTGATCCGTTAAAATTCTCTTTTATCAATGATGTTCCAAATGTTTTCTCTAAGCCATCAATATTCGCTCGTTCTTAGATCTTGTGACAGATCTCGCGATTTTGCGTAATCACCATTCTGTTTCGACGTATACATACACAGCGATAAAAATATGTACAAAAGTTTGTCGCAATTTAGAGGAACGAAACAACATTTGTTAGTGCTTGGCTAAAACCGAACGAGAAAGTGATCAAATGGTAAGCGTCTATAAAAGTTAGGAAATACTTCAATATTTTTAGATAAACGGATGAAAAATGGTCATAGATTTTAATCTGGGTGCTTAGAAATCTATGAATGCTCATTGTTTGACACGTTTTGCAGCTAAGCATGTTATTTAATCTTAATTTTATTGTAATAACGTAATCTTGTCTTATTCGTGATGGTTTAATGATTAGTTTATACTAGTATGGACGATTTATCACAGCAAAACATCGGTGATGAATCATTACAACCAGCGACATCTACATTGTGTCATACATACGTAGCTGGTTAGACAACTATGTGTCTTTTTCGTATAATGTCGTGTTGCACTATGTCGGATGAATATCATTAAAGTGATCGATGCAAGAAAAGTCTTATTAATCAGCAGAATGCGCATAATTTTGAACTATTGTCCGTTAAAAAAAAGAATGGGCGTGACTATTTTTTCAATAACTTTTGAACAATGCATTTTGAAGACTTGCAGTTTTTTTGCATAGACATTGCATAGAGGAGGTAATTAGCTACAAGATGACATAAAATATCTTATTTTTCAGAAACTAATAAGGTACACCATCTGCAAGTGGTATTTTATAAGATATTTTTATGTCATCGTGTAACTAATTACCTCCTCTATGCAATGCTGAAAACTGCAAGTCTTCAAAACGCATTGTTCAAAAGTTATTGAAAAAATATCACGCCCATTCTTTTTTTTTAACGGACAATAGTTCAAAATTATGCGCATTCTGCTGATTAGTCGTCCCATAGTTAGTGGAGTAAATCAGTCTCTTCTCTGAAGCGAATATTATATATCAACATTTATCTACAACTAATTTAAACGTTGTATATCTAGTCTATTAGGATTAGAGATACTCTGCATTGTCACTAATATAGTTGATGTCCCAAAAGGTATTTGACTACAGAATGCTCATACATCTTTAATTTCAACAATGTCTCTAGATCGTGGTTTGATTGATCAACTATGTTTTTGGATAATTTTTAGGTATTCATTATTGAACAGGGCACGATAACGGTTACGTCACAACTGCTACGTTTAAGTTTTTGCTTAAAATTAAACGTTAAGTTCGAGAGTGATGAAACATGTTACAGATGCACAGAAATCTACCTTTCATCAGATAACATCGTTCAATACTGAAGAAGAGCTTTATTTTTGATCATCAATAACCTAATCGTAATATAAACACAACATAAATCTGTGTTTGTGAGAATACAAGGAATGGAGATCCATTCGCTTTTTATCAATCACAAAAAGTTTGTTTGTATTTTGGCTACAATGTTGAAAACAACGATGAAAATACAGAAAATCCAATCAATCCGAACCGTTCCCGATTCGGTATGGATTGAGGTCGAATCAATCCCACCTCTGATAGCTGATGAAATTATAGACAGTTTGCTGGTGACCATGCGTTTGCTGTTGCAAATCCATGTCCCTGACGTCGTACCAAATAACATCGTATAATCGTTTGTGCATCAAACAGATAAAACTATTATTCATTATAGATTTTTTACCATAGGTTTTTACAAGAAAATGAACAAAGCTCGATGGGGAACTGATGTAATCTAGAAATTGGTATAATTTATTAAATTATACGGATCTTTTGTACAAGCATCTAGTACAATCTAGAAGTACAAAGTTTAACCTTATCAATGTATTGAATTTTTCTTCGATTAACGAAACTGATGATTGTAAGTTGTATTTTATGTTGATTGTTGATAGTATAGTCTTTATGAGGATTCAATAAATAGTTTTCATAATATTTGTAAGAATTCGATGTTTTTTATTAAAATAATAAAATTAACTGTGACCACAAATATTTAACATCGAAAAAAACACTGAAGTACTATAAAAATGACTTAGTTGTATTTTTATATCTTCTCGTTTTTTTTTTTCTTCTCAAATATTCATCGATCATAAACTTATTCTTCAACAAGATCATGTTCGATACAGGATACGATGCCGATTGTGAAGAATCAAATGTGATAAGCAATCGTATTATTAATCAATCATCAGCAGTCATTTATCACTGCATAGAAATTATTTTGATACATGAAGTAAAGAATAAGAATAATATGAAAACGGTAAGTGAAACATAGCTTTCTATTTTTCTGACAATTTGATCCTTCTTTTATACCAATGTTGACCACTAAACTATCTGAACCCTTTCCTATATAAAATATATTCCATACAGCGATTATACTATACTTCTCGCAGTTGTATATATCATGTATTTATTAATAAAAAAAGATGAAATCATGACAACTTTATGACATTTGATCTTACTCTTCTCGGTAACTATCAATCTTCTGAGCACGCATATCAACGTGGAGAACAAAATAAAGTTGTTACAGAATCGCCGAAAATTTCTTTTTCGTATTCAGCACACTCGATAATCCAGATTTTAGATAATATTTTCCATTTTTGAAAATCTTCTTTTTGACATGAATGGGCTTTTGTTTTCATTTCCGTCGTAAAAATGCTTTCTAGTTTATTGTGAAGGGAAGTCTAGGTTACGTCAAAAATTGAAGTATTAATAGAATGATTGACTCTTCTTAGCTGGACTCAGTTTTTGACGCTGATTACGAATCTACCGTTGATTTCGAATAAAAGTTAAGCTAAACATACGAAAATACTGAGATACAATGATCTTTACCGGTTTTTGAGACTAAACTGTGATTTTCAAAAAAAAAGAGTATATTTTTTTTCAGAAATAAAAAGTTGTCTATGTGGTATGAATTCCGTACTGGTATAACTTTTCTTTTGCCAATCATGAAAAAAAACAGCTTAAATTACATCGAAAAGTATTGATTCTATTGGAAGTCAATTTTCTAGGCAATACTCGTCTCAGTCCATTGTTATGTTGACATGATACCAAAACATTTACCATCTTTTAGGCACTCTTTAAACTATTCTACTAATATATAAGTTGACATGATACCAAAACATTTACCATCTTTTAGGCACTCTTTAAACTAACGGCTACGTTTGTGACAGGAATGCTTCCACATATCAGATTGATTATGAGATATTTGTTTTTTGAGAATATAAAAACTCGGATATCCGAGTTTTTTTTCTGTATCTTTTTAGATAATACATTTGACTTCAATATCTAATCGGATATGAAGTTCAATTGATTCGTGCTCTGTTTGACTGTTACTATCGTCAGTGCGTGAAGAAATAATCGATTTTAAAGCCTAACAACTGGATTTGTACCAGCGAACTCCCGTCTACAAAACTATGCAAGTTCCAGATATGCATCTATTATTGTTGGTGCGTAATACAGTTTTTCCTATAAGTACATGAACGACGGGATTTTTCATTTTGGAGACTAGAAAGAATTGAAAACATGGATTATCGGTTATAGCCGATCTACTTTTTCGAGAGTTCAGAAGTGTCCCAATTCACTCATAATGGTAAATCCACTCATACTCTCTACTAAGTCTTTTTTAAGAGTTTATTAACCGTCAGTAAAAAAGGTGACGTACATGGTTTTTCATATCTTTTCGCACCAGGACTGTTCTTTCGACAGCGTACCACATTTACATCGACTTTGTCCGAATTGTTCGAGAGTAACAGAACTAGTACAACTCGGCCTTCTGATGGCGAATATCATGTTTAAAAGATTTTAAAATAACGGTACGGTGGCCTTCTAGACCTGTGGAAATCCCGTTTCCCAGCAGAACTGTCTATTTGTGGGCATTTTTACCATTTTTTAGCGAAACACTTTCATGAGCTGGTATCGTCAGATAAGCTTCTATATGTGCAGAGCTACAAAATCATTAGCGGACAAAAAGTTCCGAAATATTAACCACGTTCTCAGGACTATCTAAAAATCTCGTTTTTACCGAAAAGTAGATCTTTTTTGTAAATCACTTTTCCCCTATAAAATCATATCAACAAAAGACAACAAGGTATGCATTCAACGCGCCTTTTCACGTTCTATCCGGTGAAGTAGTTCGCATTGGGAACAGAAAATGTTTAATGGTAGAAAATAAGAGTTTTTAAAACCGATTTTCCTCGTTTTTCAAAGTTTGAGTACATGCTGTACCATTCTGCGGGATTATAGGACGTGAAATGACATATATTTCGCATGTACTCGACGCGGGCTGTTAGAAAAACAGGTGTTCGTCTTTGGCCAAGTACTCTCAGCGAAAATACCAGAGGATTTTCGTCCATCTCGAAAGTACTTGGCCAAAGACGAACACCTGAAATAATTGAGCTATTTTCGTGTAAAGCTGAAAATGCATAATTCACTCAAAATCGGTTCAAAATACATCAGAAGTTCCAAACATATTCTAATTTAGTTTTTTTTAATGATCGTATAGTTCATAATGCAAAAACAAGCGATGAGTACCTTAGAAGTTTTTAAGAAAGTTCTGCAATGTTTTAGAGGTTTTGTACGAGTTGATCTCATTTCCAAGTTATCAACAAGGAAAGCAACTAAACTGTGAGATATGTTGAATGGGTTCTGAGTGAGTTATGACTTTTCAGTTTTGCATGAAAATTGCTCAATAATTTTATCAAAAAGGAGATTTTCACTAAGGTTTTGAAATTGTTAGTAAAAGAAAATATTACTGCGAGATTCAGTGTGGTGAACAATCCATATCATCTAACTTTTTTCACTGAAACACCCTTCACTATACTACAATACATAATCTTAAGTAAGTTTAACGATAGAATTCTGCGTAGATTTAATGAATTTAATGGAATAAGATATGTTCTATTTTTCTTCAAAACAACGCCTACAAATGTTAGGTAGAATGCAACGAAATACGAATATCTTTTAGAAAAGTGTGTTTTTGTTTGGTAAGTGAAAGTTATCTTTATTATTTTTTTTTATTCACACGCATCATCTAAGTATTTCCTATTAAGAGTGCTCTCTCTTTTCTCTGCCCGATAATTTATAGTTCAAACAATGCATTCGCTTTTCTCTCTACATTATTATTTTTCTTCTTTTAAAGCGTTAAACCGGTTACATATATAAATTACATACCTGAGAAGAATATAATAACATCTCTTCACACTTTTCTCTCTATTTATGACTGAAAGGGCTTCTTATGTATTAACGCAATTGTATGTGCATTAGGCTATATTCGAGTGTTAATCAAGAAACAATTCTTTCTTCGTCTAATGCAGTGCAACACCTCTATAATAATCAGTCATCATGCTACCTATTATCACAATAACAAAAGAAATTTTGATAAAAACAAATTAAGTACAATAGAGATTTTTCTTGCTCATTGCATTCACACAATAATCAATTTTCTATTTTAATAAGCTCGCTGCTGTTGCTTGCTATACTCATGCTGATTGAATAATTCGAAAAAGAAAGTAAGAGACGCGATATATTTCTTGAACTTTTTTATGTTTTTGGTGATAGAAGGTCAGCTTCTAGTTTAGATTCCCTCTTATAATAAAGTAGACAACAGCCTAGGTTTATTTGACGTTATTTAACCTATTATTTTGACTTTGTGGAATAAAAACAAATTTGAACAGTTAAAATAATGATCAAAACTCTGAAAGTTTTTAAATCTAATAGAGAGGATATCAGTTTTGCTATGAATATGTAGTCTGCTATTTTTCATTAAATAAAATCATCTATAGGTTCTGAAGATAGGATTCAATAATCTCACAATATAACTTAATCAGAGCTAAATCAGAGACATTAAAAGAAATAGAAGGTTTTTTAATTGTGCTTTTAGCGTTTGAACGATAGAAGAATAAAAGCGAAAAAATGAAAAAAGAACCTTGTTCAAGTTTTGATCAAGTGATGTAAGTGATAGAAAGCGCAACGTCTTAGCTGAGCCGAAAAAACCCTGAAAATCACGATGATCGTCATCGATACGGCTCTGATTACTTTTGACGACTTCTTAGTATACTTTTCTTTCGGTATCATGCCACAACTATGAAAGAAATTTGATGGTGAGAAAATTTTGTTCTATCTATTATCCATTTCAGAATAGAAGAGGGTTGAATATTTCTGTTCAGAGAAATTAAAATTTTACTTTGTATTTACTTGTGCTCCTAGTAAAAAATGTCATCGATATGACCGAGTATATATATCTATGATATCTATCCATCTGCCACGTTCTGTTGAGTTTCTTGGAAGTGTTCGAATCGGATATGAGTACGTCTAGATAATCTCGGAAATAACTAAAGGCACAGGTTATCGAATCTAGAGACAATATCTGTTTTTTTTACATTATTATATGAAATAAGAACTAAAAGGCTTTGTAAAAACCTATTTGGTAGGAAATACCACGTTTTATGTTATACCACGTTTTATGTTATTTGAATGGCACAGTAAAAAAAGTATGTTTTTCCTCAATGTGTAGATGATCTGGTTTAGAAAATGTCGAAAACAGCAGATCGTTCTATAAAACGTTTTCGAAAAATTTTCAATCATCTTGTCTTTTGAAATGGATAGTACTTCTTTCAAAGTGATACAGTTGATAGAGAATCGAGTCTTTAGGTGCAGTACATCAACTCTGTTAATTTAATTTCGTTTTAATTTCATATTTTTGAATAGTATTCTTTCTCAGATTGAATTAGATAGTCATATAGCACAAGGATATTTTAAATTAAGATCGAGTTTAGAGAAATAACTGATTATTAATCTTTTAATTAGTAAATTTAGATTATAGCATTATACCACTGAGATATTTTGATAAAAAAATGTTACATAGTTGGCGTTGATCCATTCTTGTTTCGCTGACAGTAATTAAATTATTGTTGTTTCGTCGACACTATGGTTTTAATCAATTAAGCTTGATTCTTGTTTTTTATCCGTTATAAAACATGAAATTCTAGTTTCAATTATAAAGTTTTTTATTTCAGAATGATCATGCATACAATATAGTCTTGAAAAACATTTGACAAAAAGATTAAAACTTTTTAACACCTATTGTTTTTGATACCTTACACAAAAAATCATTTAAATTTATATTATTTTGTTTATATCTATCTTCTAAATAATGTAAACGATAATTACGATTAACATAGACTTTCTTACATGGCGTAAACTATTTTACTTTGTACAAATTTTTTCAAGGCTATATTATATGTATGATTATTTTGGTATATTTATACATTTTTTATTACCAACTACAACTGTTTTATGTACACTATTAGTTTTGATAGAAAGAATGGTTGGTTGATTCTTTTTTATTGAATTTTAAAACGTTGAACTTTTTTTCAAATTTAAAATTGTAGTATATATTTTATAATTGCAACTAGAATTCCATGTTTTATAATGGATAAAAAAAAGTGTCCACGAAACAAGAATCAAGTTTAATTGATTAAAACCGTAGTGTCGATGAATCAGGATAAAAAAAGTGTCGACGAATCGAGCAAGAAATTAGTGTCGACAAAACAAGAATACCCCCTTGGCTTTTATATCGAAAAGAATTTCTTTACATGTTGCATCTAGTTTATTACTCTCTTTTTTACGCTGATTAATGAAGAATAATTGCACTTGGGGAATAATCAAAACAGGACATTGTAAACAAACTGTTTCTATATTTAATTCCTATGTAATAATGTGTTCTGTCGTCAAACATCAACCAAAAATACTATCAAATCATTACTTTTCTTATTAAAGCTACACTTGAAAATTGACAGAACACACAAAATTTTGATTAAAAAAATAGCATAGCAGGGGTGTAAGAATAAAAATTATAATAAGTCATAATAACAATCGTTTTTCATCAAAAAATGTGGCAAATATTATTTTACGGACGGAGTGTGACATTTGTCGAAGATGTTCGACTATCCGAGGAGAATATCTTAGAAGTGTGCAAAAATCTAAATATTCAGATAAGTAATCTGCAAATAACATATATCGAATCAACAAACGATGTACGTGTAAGAGTAACTTTCATCACACACTGCATTATATTCTTTCATTTCTTTAGGATAAGCCCCTTCATCGGCCTCCTCGTCCGATTGAAGACGAGATGCGCTATTTCATCTATTATCCACCAACGAAATCTATTCGACAAATCGACGTTACAGACACTGTTCGCGTTCAAGACATCATCAAACAAGTTCAGCATGAATTTCATTTGACGGCACAAGGTTCAGGACCTTCTGAAACATCGATCGTTCTCAATTATAATGGTAGTGATTTGAAACCCAAATGGGCCGTGGGTGATTTGGGAATACCCTCAGGTGCCATTATTCGGTGTCTTTATCGTGAACAGAAAGCAGCTGACCTCTATATTTACTGCGCATTTAATCAACAAACGATAAAAATATTTGATTCTACATTAACTTTGGAAACAACGATTGGAACAATTCGAAAGAAACTGAGTGATACACTCGGTTTACCACTGAGCACATTCTGTTTGGAAAGTCGAGATGGCCGTGTACGATATTATGATCATATGAAATTAATTAGTTACGATATTAAATTGAATGGACGAGTGTATCTCAAAGTCTGGAAAGGATTCGAAAAGTTTTTGACAAATTGTCTAAAGGGTTTCCATGATACATATGCACAGGACGATTTGACCAGACAATATCAACTCCAAATTGCACTACACATTGCAGCATTTTATGGTAAATTTGTCTTGACCTCCAACCACAGATATTATTTTATTTTTTTTGATTTAGGTCATATGGAATTAGCCACCAGTGCAATGCAAATGGGTGCCCGTAGTGATCGACCTGTTGGTGAACATCCCAGTCGTCAATGGAGTTCGGTATTAACCGATAAGATTCTCCCAGAAATTCAAAAATGTCCATTTCATATTGCCATTGAACGTGCACATGTGAAAATTGTTGATCTATTTGTGCGTCATAATATTCTGTGCACACAAGTTCGACATCCAATCAATGATTATTTACCTTATCGTTTAGCGTTGACTCTGTCAAGTCAATCGAAAGTGAAAGACGAACGTCAACGTTACAGTGAAATCTACTTTTACCTCGATGATAAGCAATTCAATCTGAGAATACCGTTAAATTCAAACGGGGAGCATGTACAAGCAGCGCTTGGATCATCGACATCAGTTAGTGTAGTAACACATCATTCACAACATCATGTTCTGATATCATTGCCATTGTACTGCAAAATTATTAAGTAAGACATAAATGTTCTTTTTATTAATGATGGTGATATTTTTAGGGTGTCTTAGTTTTTTGCATCAATCGGCATTTGAGTCACTTGACGCTTACTATCAAATAAAATACGTTTTCTTTTTTTGTATTGTAGATGGTACGAACGTGCTCGTGAATCAGCATGGAAAAAGAATGGTGGAAATTTTTATTCAAACCCGCTATCAAAACGTATTTATCCTAAGACCGGTTTACTCGGATATAAAGTGTTAATCGACGGATATAATAACACGTTTGACGGTGTTCAAGAGCAATATTTGCAACAAAAGCCAAATTCAGCAAAGCATAGTGGTGGTATCGATTACATTGACCGATATTTTGGCAAAGATATTTACGAAAAAGAAAAATATTTGCAAAAGAAAACGTACATGAAACAGTTTGGTGTAGAAGATAAACATCGTAAAGGGAATCTGGCACCAACAATCACGGATCAACGACGATTCGCAACATCAAAACGACAAATGCCATATACATCAAAAATCGATCAAGATAAAACTTCGAAAGTAAACACTAACAAATCGACGGTGGTTCAACCGCCTCTTGAAGGTCTTTCATCATCGTCCGAATTTTTACAGCAGCAAAGTAGAGACTGGCAAGTTATGAGTAATCAAAAATTGACATTATTACCCGCAACAATCAATGAATCTGCAATACAGCTATCAAATGCACTGAAACATTTAGCAACAAGAAAATCAGCGAAAAAGGTAAACACGAACAATAAGGACACTGATGAGAAGGCAAGCACAGTCGTTAGTTCTGTAACAACGGACCCATCAACTATTACTCACCTAACAACATCAACTGTAACACAAGGTCAGGCGACAAAAGGAAAAGAAGGTGAGTTAAAAAGCTTTTCTTTATAGTAAAACATATGACCTCGTATTTTAAGTTCATTTTAGTCACGACTTTTGCGCATAATTCATTAGCTGATCGATGTGAAGTACATAAATCTCTGACTTGAAATATTTATGACGCCCTAAAGCAGTCATAGAGGCTGCCGTACGGCTATAACTCTTCTTTTATCCAAGTTAAGAAAAGCTGAGACTTTGACTATCTGTGATATAAAATTTCATGCGAGTTTTTTCATTGCTTACTAAACGAGACCGATTGTAAGGTCATACGATCAGTTTGTTCTTTCCTGCGAAATGATTAGAACTAAGCTCAGAGCTGATACCTGAGTTAAAATTTAATAACTTGATATTTTCAGCACCGATGGTCAACTTAAGTGCATATTGTTTTGTCGCAAGCCTCCAGTTGCAATTATTAAGGAAATTTTTACAAAACCCGATTTCTCTGCATGACACATTACAACTTCTCCAACAATTCATTTGATCGAGCAGAAATTCATACTAGATCTACTTAAAACCGTTTTCAAAGCTTATTTTTTCTTTCCATCCACTTTTCTTCACAAGGTACAGTGGCTCTACTGAGAAACTGCTAAAATCCTGACTTTTTCGAGTTGAAAACCTTATAACTTGAGAAGGAAGAATGTTTAGTAACAGTCTCAGATCAATTTTGGTTTAGAAATAAAATGACTGCCTTTATTATTTAAGAAGGACATACATTTAAGAGGAAAATCTGTTAAAAGAACTGTTTAGTTGATTATACTGAAGCTTTGTGATTAATCAGTATTATCAAAGTGCCGTACTCACACAAATATTCCAGGTCACGGATTCATACAATTCCCAAAATTCAAACGTAATCATAATTTTGTGGAATACTCTAGATGTACACTATACAAAGCTGTCGAGTCTTCATCGGATACGGATATAAAGATTGTACTTCTGCACAACTCTAATCTTCGACAGCAACATTTAGCTAACCTATTTCTAGAGAATATATTTTCTTTAAATTGATATTTAGTCGGAGCGCTATTTTCATTCATAAAAGATCCATACAATTAGTTAAACGTTTTATTACTATTGAATTTATTATAACAAACTAAGAGAATTTTTATTTTAAAAAATGATTGCATAATTCGAGTGTGAAAGAGTCAATAATTTTAATAAGATATATTTTGAATTTATAAATATGTCTTATTACGTCGGACAATAAATAAAAAAAGAAAACTATTTTACTTTATTTTATTTTTTGTTGAAATAAAATAATTTATAGTGATGGCTTGCTGTTATAAATCTAAAATATGTCTTAAAAAAAATGATTGAATTAGAAGACTTTCAGATTTCTTTTCTCAACGAAATTGATAAAACAGATTGTGTTGTATTTGTAATTTGTATTAATTCAGATACTACTCATCGTGAGCCATACCGAAAACCAGCCACAACAATGTCCGTCTATTCGACTATCAAACCAGGTGCAAGCGAAGGTAAAAAACGTCATAGTCTAAGTACAATCAGACAACCGCCACCAGATCCATTCAAACATCTTCTATCAACATTTCCTGTCATAACCGATCATAAACCGCCATCACTATCACCTACATCATCCATCTCACACAAAATACAAGCTGTTGTTCAAACTAATAGCGATATCGATACTCAACAACCTCTCTTAGATGATGAACCAACACGATTAATGTCTGCTGCGAATGCTTATACACTGGCTGCATCGAAAGCCGCTCTGAAAACCAAATTAGAATCCAAACAACGTCTTATTTCCAATAGACAAGAGGAAAAGAAATCAAGATTTCTCACCGCCGATCATGAAGAATCTGAAATTACCACTCAAATTAGCTCACAGACAACGAAGATGACGGGCAGTGACAGTAAAATCGACGATAATGAACAAGATCTACTCTTAGATGTCGACAATTACATTCCATTATCCGACCATTCGACTGGTACACGTCAACGTCCGATTAAATCTCGTTTAGATGTTGAAATTCATCGTTCAACTGTTCAGCCGTATCAACGTTACTCGAGCGCTACAGCGCGTGACACAGCTATCACGTGTTTGAAAGAAGCTGCTTACTTCAAACGAAAATCGTGGCTTAAACAAGTTGAAATAAGTAAGGAAATGGTAAGACATAAAGTAAAACGACGAATTCGACGAGCAAATGAGACATTGTTCAGTCATATAGATGAAGATGATGATAACGAGATTACTAATCAGCCATCGGGAACTTCTGGAGCAAAAACGACCTCAATCGCTGCATCAAGCAATGCGAAAATGAATTCATTGTTCGGAAATAAATTTTTACCTATAGCTACCTCGAGACAATTTGCAGTTAAGATTGCATAAAATGTCTTAAAACGGTGATTCACCTTTTCTTTTACAAAGGCTTCTTTAAATTAAATTATATTATACTAAAAGAACGAACGAAAATGGGTTGGGAAGTAAAGCTGGAAAGGTATAACCATATATAAACTATCCTAAGGATTCTAACTTATCCTATCTGCAAGTTTAAATTTGAAATGATCATATTTGTCTTTAATCTCAATGTAGGAAATATGAGTAGGATCAAAATGCTGCTGAACTAAAATTTTAATGAACTTTTTTTTAAGGAAAGTGCTTTTTAATGAAAGTCCGATATCCCGCTTTTCTCTGTAGGAGCATATAAAGAAATGAACGCATAATTAGAAAGCTCGTTCTATTCTCTATAAACTGATGTATTCATAATATCTTCATTAATTTTCGAAAGGTCGTTAAGTTCAACATATATATAGATAGAGAAAAATGCGACCCGTAGATCATTTTTTAAGCTAACTTTTTTCGAAAAAGTCAGGATTTTAGCAGTTTCTCAGTAGAGCCACTGTACCTTGTGAAGAAAAGTGGATGGAAAGAAAAAATAAGCTTTGAAAACGGTTTTAAGT